TGTTCAATGGCATGCTTAACCGATGAGCAGGTGAGAGCGGGACTGAAGTTTTGCTTAATCTTGCAGTATCTCTATTTCCTTGGCTTCAAATGGAACAAACTGTATTTATCTGATAGGCAAGGGGGCCATACAGTGGTCAATTATTGCTGTTTGTCAAGTGTGCTGAGACTCTTGGATGGCTGATACTAGCAAGGAAGCTATTACAGTTTATGGCTTGTTTGTTTAGTTAGTGGACCTCAGAAATGTGGATAAACTGCTTTTCCTTTGCACGGCTGACCCCCTTCACCTGCACTCGGAGTGCTAATCTGTCTCCACCAGGATTGATTCTAACATTGCCAATCTCTGGGCAGCTCCCAAGTGGAGCCATTACAAGATATTAAATCTGGCTATGCTATACTTTTTCTTCTTCCTCTAGAGACAGATGTCTAGATCAGGTGATAGCAGAATCCCTAAAAGACCAGGATTTATTTTGTTCAGTGCCGGACTCCTACAAGACAAGGACTGTGCAAAGCCCAGGAACTTGCAGTTTGCTCTGGAGAGAAATGCCGATTTTCTTCCCGCAGAAGTGCAGCATTTCTAGCAGGACAGGACATTACTTTGTGCAGCACATGCAATCTGTGACACTAATCGGGATCTTGATTTATAGGATCATGCAACTCTCCTGATTTACAGAGCAGCTATCTGGGTGCTCATTAGAGGCCTTGCAGTTCGTGGCTAGCTTTTTCCTCCCGTTGCCTTTACATAGGATTTACTAGGCTGGGGTGATCTATCTCTAAGACAGAGACAGAGCTTTAAAATCATGTCCAAACATAGTGTATGTCCTAGTGGATGGATGGATAGATGTATGGATAAGAAGCATTAGACGCATGGGGGAAGCGGAACAAATAGGTGTAATTATACCTTGCTGGAGTAAAGTGTGCAATTCACTCACTGCCTCCCTTGGATTTTGCGGTTATCCCAAGCTCGTGCCTTTAACAGAAACGCTCATAAAATGTCAAATGGTGTCTGCATGTGGATATAATTAAAATCCAAGCATGAACACACAATTATTCAAAACTTGTTTCTTCCAGCTTCCAAGCCCTACAAGGCCAGGCTGCAGAGAGCCTAGTGAGATCTGATTTTAAATGCTGATTCACTGCATCAAGAGTTACTGACAGGTTATTATTAAATTTAATGACTTCTGTTTTCCTAGGGAAAGACTGCTTTGGCTATGGCAGTTATGAACACTGTTTAGAGCCGCCTGGATGTATTTGGTGCACAGATCCCGGCAACAGCGGAAAAGGGAAACGCATGGACAGATTACAAAGGCCAAGTAGAACAACTGCAAGCTTGCAGGAGGAAAAGCTTATGATGAAGCCCGTCTCGACAGTGGCATCCGTCCAACAGAGAACCAGCCTAGCCAGTCCTTTCTTCAGGGTCCATCTAACACCAGCAGAAGATGAAGGTACAGCGGAGATTTCTGCACAAGCCTACAACCAAAATTCAAAGGGCGCACTCAGTTTTGTCAAGCATCCAAGTGGTTGGGTAGGAATTGGAGGTGCCCTAAAAGCATGCGAGAGGGAACATAGCCAGGATGGTTTTCTTCATTAACCAGAGTGACAAGGCTAAAAAGGCTTCCACATCGGGACTTGGATCTGACTCAATACAGTGAAAGGTGGGGTCATCAGGCTTGGAGCCGCAAGCTCACAGGTTACTGCACAGATGGCAGCAGGAGCAGGGCATTGCACTGACGACAGGACAATGAGAGCAGTGACCACGTCGATGGGCACAGGGGAGGTCAGAGCACTGGGGCGCCCCGTAGTTCCCTCTGCCTCGAGGGACTGTGCTCTGCCTAGACCAACTGTGAACTCCTGGGTCCATGCATTTTCTGGTGTCTTGTCCAAGTCTGGTCAGGGCAGTTAGCAGAGATGGGACCACATCTGAACCTCCTCACCCTCCAGAGTTTGGGAGGAGCCTGAACTTGGCAAGCGAAAGCAGAACCCGGTTTGAATTTTCCCAAAACTTCACAGTCACTCCGGGGTGCTCTCTAGGATTATCAGTGTAGTAGTTCATGTAAAAGTAGTTCATGACTGACAGCCAGCACATTTCTACAGAAGAAAGGTCCTGAAGGGAGCTCAACTCAAGGGGGAAGAAAAACCTTCTCATAAGACAAGCTCTTGAGGTGTCCTCAGGATCAGATGATCTGAACACAAAACCAGTATCCCCCTTTTCCCAGCCAGACAGTGCAATGGGCTGGTGTAGAAAGGAAAGCATCTGTGAGACCTGACAACGAGCAAACACAGTGGGACTCTGAATTACCCACACTAACCCTGCTCACTCCAGTGAAAACAAGGCAAGAATCCGAAGTCCTATTAAAACTAGGGTTCCAGAATCAAATCCTGAATCACTTACCCCTCATAAATATGCAACTTCCTCAGTCTTTCCAGGCTGTTTCCTTTGCATGTCTTAGTGTGAGTGCAAGGGCTCATCATGGTCTGTGAGGTGCTGTGGAACAAGGCACAGCCATGCTTCTCCCACCTGGCTGGGTACCTGAGGGAGGGCACAAAGAGTGTACATACTGTTTTCCCGGAACAGCCATAATGAACGATCTTCAAACTATATGACTGAGCCAAATGGAAGAGTATCTGTTCTGCGCTGTCCTTCTGCTGTCAGCACAACCCATCAAAACTTCGTTCCTAAATGACGGGATACAGCCTGGATCCTCTTACTTCAGGAGAACGGTGTCTTCTTGATTTTGTCTGAAGATGGATGCCAAAAAGTCACCAAGACAGCTCAGATCGGCTGCCATGCAGGTTCAACTCAACGTAGTAGAGAGAAGCAAAGGTCATTATTTGACAGTTTTTACCTTCTGCCTGTTAACCATCTATGCATAAAACATTTCAAGGCAAGGTCTGTGCAAAGCAGAAATCCAGACTGGCACTGTTTAGTAGGACTGGCTGCAATGTGCAGGTATTTGGTGAGTAAAGAATGTTCTTTGAGTTTTCATTCAAAATCAGATACCACTTCCTCCCTCCTCTCCCTTGTAGTCTGCAAACTAGAAGCCCCACATGCAGCAGCTGCTTGATAGACTGTCCTGAAAAGCCTGGCCTCACTGTGCAGAAACATGATCCTTAGCTTCAAGATAGACTCACTACAGGTGTCAGATGTGGGGTTGAGGATCTCCTCAAGTTCAGGACTCTCTGATCCTGCCCAGCCACGATCAGCTACATCCTGTCCTGAAGGGCATATAAGACCTCCACATCTGTCTGTCTAGCTGTATCAGGTACCTGAACCCACCTGTTCCCTCACGCTTCCTGTCTTCAGGGACGATTCTTAAAAACTGAGACCTTTGAATAAAGTTTTTTTCAAAAAAAAATATCCATGACATTGTCACAGAATCGCAGAATCACAGAATGGTTGAGGTTGGAAGGGACCTCTGGAGATCATCTAGTCCAACCTCCCTGCTCAAGCAGGGTCACCTAGAGCATATTGCCCAGGATCACGTCCAGACGGGTTTTGAATATCTCCAGCGAAGGAGACTCCACTACCCCTCCGAGCAACCTGTTCCAGTGCTCTGTCACCCTCACAGTGAAGAAGTCTTTTCTCAGGTTTAGATGGAACTGCCTGTGGTTCAGTTTCTGCCCGTTGCCCCTTGTCCTGTCACTGGGCACCACGGAGAAGAGACTGGCCTCACCCTCTTGACACCCCCCCTTCAGATACTTGTACACGTTGATGAGATCTGATGAGATTTCCAATCAGTCCAGCCACTCAGTGGTTTGGTAGCCAACATGGTGACTCCCCGAGGTCATCTCTCTTCTGGCTCAGCCCATGTTGTTCACAGTGGCTATTGGGCATGATGAGTTATCACTTCTCTGCGTCACTCCCGCAGCTGAAAATCAACCCCTCAGAACTTAAATCCACGTCAGTTGTCTGTCTTACAGCGTGGGCTATTCTGTCCTTGAGCAAAATGCGTTCCCATCTTGTCTCAGTGTCCTGCAAATATGCCTGTGCCACAGCTTGCGATGCAAAGACTAGCAAGTGCTTTAATCCTGAGAGAATCATAAGGGATCAATATCAAAAGTGAGTTTCTGAGTCTTTTTGACATGCTAGTCTCTGTGGCCCGTCAGACACAAACCTGATTACTTTACCTTGTTGGTATTGCTTATGCTGTCACACTAGTAAAGATGTTGATGGCATTTTGTTCTTGTTTCTTTTTCTTTTTTATTTTAGCTTGAATTCTGCAAGCATTAAGGGCTTCAGAGTGGCCAAATAAATAACTTGAAATTGGATTTTCAATCCTTGCAAAGGACAGCTGAGTTACCTGGCTTGCTCTCTGCCTGTTTTCAGAGTCTGTTAAGAGCTGAAGGATAAAGCAGACCCAGTGTTGTCTCGATTCCCACTGGCAGGCAAGAGGATTGTCCCCAGTGGGAATGGTCTAGTGACTCCCGGCACTCTGGTGTTGTTCAGACACCCCGCGGTGCCCAGCTCCCTGCACATCTGGGCTGCTGCCGGTGGGATGGGGAGTAGGGCAAGGCAGCATGGGGGGATCTGCTTTGGTTTGCCACCTCCTGCAGAGGTATGACTCTATCACTGATGACTTCAGCCTCAAATGAGGCTGGCATTGAAAGCTCAGCTCCCACCCAGCTCCAGTGGATCACTTAGGGCTAACCCTTCAAAGCATTTGGGTGCAAAATTTCCAAGGGAATCCAAGAGAGATAGAAGCTTAAATACCTTCAGTATTTATTTCAAACACCATCAAGTCAGCTCTGTGAGGTGGGGATAACAGCATCCCTATCACATCTACAGTGGGAAGACAAATCCAGCACGCTGAAAGGTCTTCAGCACTGTTAGAAAAGGAGTCATAAATGCAAGTTGCTCTTCACTGCACCTTTAGCTTTCAATTCTGCCTCTTGGCAATTTATTCACAGGAGGTGTTGTGCTTTGGAAACAGGCCTGAAAGAGTGAAACAGAAGTGACAGGACTGGAAGGCTGTGTAGATATTAACTTTTTTCCTAGATGCGATGTCCAACGTCAATACCAGGGCAGTCTTCTTCAAGCAACATGTTACTGTAAGTGTCTCCACTTTCCTCCACCCTGGCTGCACTAAGGATGTCATTCAGGATATTAAAGCGAATAAGTTATAGGTGTCTTTATTCAGCGCAGCATCTGTTTAGTCTGCAGATGATCTCAGACATTCATCAAGTTAGCGAAACTCATATGATCCTGTGCCGACAAGCTGAATTACATGGCAGGAGGATTCAGGCAGAATTCTAAAGAGTTTGCACGTTTCTGTCCCACTTAACTCTGGCCACGGATTCAGCCATCCTGATGGGATCCCCAGAGCCCTGCTCGGCTGATGGCTGATAATTTTCGCAGGGAGTAGAGAGGACATAAATTAGAAAAAAATGGGATTGGATCCTCAGGGCTTTTGAACATGCTGCAGGGAACAAGAGGACATTATTTCAATCATTTTATTTGCGGCTGGCATCACTGAAACAGCACAAGGTCCACAGTAAGACCAAACAGTAAATAGAGAAACAACCAATATGTCACAGAATTGCTGTTTAGTTCATTTTGTGCTTTACCAAGTCAATAGCTGTTAACGTACGTCCCCAGAGAGAAAGCCAGAGAGAAACAGCTTTATCCTCTACTCAGAGCAAACCTCCCAGCAATTTCGGCATCAAGGCAGCTGATCTGCGAAAAGTGAAATCTCAAGTGTGTATTCATTGTGCCTATTTCAGAGAGGGGTCCTAGAGCCCGAGCTAGGGCCTCTTGTAGAAAAGAAGAGCCTCCTGGTCGATGCCATCTGGATCACCAACGATTTATTTAGTTCTGCCTCTGATACTGAGAGCCGTGTGAGAAAATGGTCCTATGGGACATGATGGAGCGTCTGTTTCTTCTCACTAGAAACCACACTTTCAGCTTGTCCTCCAGGTTTGTGACTCCTGCTTCTTGGTTGGAAATGCTATTTCTGCCATTGCAAATGTCATGATCCCTCCCAGGGAGCCCCACAAAGGGACCTGGAGTGCCGGAGTTCCTGTTGAGGGGAACACATGGCATCAGGCCTCGATTGTGCAGCTTCTGCAGAGCGTTCAGCCCTTCTAAAAATGAAAATCCCTGTAAACAAGCGCCTCAACATGAGTTTGAAACATGCCTGGAAACATGCATGAAAACAGCATGAATTCACTGTAGCCATTGCCTTTTGTAAGTCCCAGATTTGACTGGCGGTTCCAGGCTGTCCTTCAAAGTCAAGCTGAATTTACAGTCATGAATGCCTACACATTTATGGAGTCTGTCAAATTCAATCACTTGGCTTTCACATTTGTTTCTTCATCTTACAGATGACAAACTATGTCATACCCAGTAACACTGAAAGCCTCAGTGCATGTCCCTCCCATACCATATTTCTGGACAGTTAGCACAAGTGTGTATGTCTGCATTCCTCTAGATGGTCTGCTCGCTGATTATCAACTCACCTAGACCATTTCTGAGGAGGATGACCACCACACCATGATGCTGAATTTTGCTGTGTAACCAGAATGGGTTAGTTATGATCTCTTCACTCTGGTACCAAATTTTAGGACTCAATGGGTTCTAGAGGAGTGCCGAAGAGAACCTGTCATGACCTTTTCGGCTCTGACACCTCTGAAATTTGTACAAGAGAGTACGGCATAATATAGGACATAGGAGAAGCAATAAAACAGCATGTAAGCTGGCTGCATCTCAGCTGCTCTATTGTGAGGTTTCATGGAGCTCAGCTGCTCACCACGTAGTCTTCAACTCTAGCCAAGCTGCAAAATATCAGTCACAGTGTTACTGGACCACACAAGGAGCTGCAAGGCTGGAAGCCCAGTGCACATCTAGATGTCCTACTGCACCATGCCTGGAGTTGAGAGCCCTTCATCAAATGCAAAACTGATCTTCGAACCACAATATGTTCGAGCACGTATTGTGAGAGGACAGCTCAGTGACAGAACTATTGCTGGAATCTCTCAGTAACCTGTTTGGATGGTACATCTCCTTCCCTTTTTAAAAAATACATTAAAAGACCTTCTTACTTCCTATCTAAACATTGTTTCACGAGCTTCTGACTATTAGTTGTTGGTTATCTTTCTCTGGCAGATGAAAGAGCTCTGCAATACCAAAGATCTGCTGTGTAGGTAGTTCATATTTCTAATCTATTGCAGCATTTCTGCTGGGGCTGGGGCTGGGGCTGTCATATCAAAACTTTATATCCTTTCTGAGGATATTTTAAAGAAAATCATCTGGAGGGGTAAATGAATTCATTCTGAGGTAGTTGAGCATGGTTTTATCCATGGATATCTCTTGAGAATGCTGTCATGCATGTGCAGGGCAGCTTAGAGCAGCCTTGAGGCTTTACTAGCACCTCTAACATGCCTTGTACCTAAGGGTAACCATGCTGTGCTTCATGTGAGGTGCATGCGGAGCAGGAGGAGGAGAGGGCTGGTGGAGCAGGGCTCCCATGCACCTCCTCACAGCCCCAGGCCATCGGCCAAACTGGGGCTGGCTCAAAGTTTCTCTGAAGCATAAGCACAGTTGCATTTAGCTGTGGCTGTTTGCTGCTGTTTTGCCATCCTGGTTTAGACTCACCTTTTTGGCTTTTCACTGTAAATGGCTAATTCTTCCTGCCAATTACAGCAGAAGGACAACTTAGGAGGTAGCTCCTCCTGGTTGCTCCTTACAGGTGTCTCGCCAAGGATGAGACGTGATGGAAACAGCATGGATGAGCGTAGCACAAGGCAATGTGTCCAAAGGGGTCACAGATGGGATGTGCTGGGAGACCTGCTGCAAAAAGGAGCCTGGGACCAGGAGATCAATTGTTTGTCCACATGGACAGGTCTTGCACAGCCCTTACAGATAAATCCTCACCACACACCTAAAGAAAGGGCCAGATCAACTTTCTCTGTTGTGGCTAACACTACTCCCTGCTCATAGCAAAACTGGTAAAATTCAGTGCTGGGTTACTGGAGCTGTCAAGATAATTTGGGCCACTATGCTAAAAGTCTGCAGTTCGGAAAATCTATTTATATTTTAAACCTCTTTATCACTTTTTCTCAAAATGCCAACCTGAAGACTATGTGGTCTATTGTAGCTGATCCATGTATAAATGCATTAAAAAAAAGGAAAGTTTGTGAAGAAAATATCATGCAAAAACTCATCGCGAGGAAGTCAAGAATGTCTTTAAAAGCAAGGCTTTTGACACATGTCCATGCAAACATTAGGGTAAGTCCCTCTCTGCGTATGCATGGCAAGCAGTGTGGATGGTAACCAGCGCAGGTGCGTCCTGTCTAACCACCGTGTTTGTCCACACTGTCGGGTGAGGGAAAAGGGGAAACCAGCGCCACTGAAATGGGTCAGACCCACAGCATCAGCCCAATTTTCCCCATGCACCTCCCTCTGAGAGACGTCCTGCAGCGCTGGTCAGCGGTTTTGACGAGGTGAGCAGGAGGGAAAAATGCTTTTAGCCTGTAGCAAAGAGAGTTAATTACCAAGTGCCTACGCTCCACTTGCAAAGCCCTGGCTTTCCTGTCCTTCAGAAATGACCACGTGTTGCCTTCACAGAATCACAGAATCACAGAATCGTTTAGGTTGGAAGGGACCTCTGGAGATCATCTCGTCCAACCTCCCTGCTCAAGCAGGGTCACCTAGAGCATATTGCCCAGGATCACATCCAGACGAGTTTTGAATATCTCCAGCGAAGGAGACTCCACTACCTCTCTGGGCAACCTGTTCCAATGCTCTGTCACCCTCACAGTGAAGAAGTTTTTTCTCAGGTTCAGATGGAACTTCCTGTGGTTCAGTTTCTGCCCATTGCCTCTGGTCCTGTTGCTGGGCACC